GACGGCTGACAGAGTAGGCGGAACATGAAAGGGGGACACCTCGATGCTTAAATGGTCTTTCACCTGTGTAATTCGGATAATATCAGCGGAAAAAGGACAAATACCATGGATCATGTAATTTTGATGAAACAGCCAGAACGAAAAGTTTTGAGTAGAAGCTTGTGAAAACAACCATCAGTCATTCAAATAAACAAAGGACTATAAGTGACAACCCTCTAATCAGAAAAGAATGTGTGACAAACTTTAGAATAACTAATTGAGGACCAAAAATTGTAAGACGTTAGAATAGGAGTCATTTTAGTAAATTTAGGGGAAAGTCTTTGAAGTCAAGAATCGGCAGGTAATAATACTTGGTTAGTCACGTGGGTACCATGGTAACGAGATGGATACAAATACTGGTTTTTGTATGCTTAGTCGTGGCTAAAATTATAAATTCTGAAGACTTTCAGAATGTGTAGGTGTTGACATTTAGTGGAGTTGGGTTGAATTGTGTGGATCAAGTTAGGTGAACAATATCGCTCTTCTGTAAATCTTGGTGATTTCTCGCACGGATACCACTGTGTTGCCTTTTTTCGGCCGTTCGCTAACTCCGAAGACGCGGGAAAAGGTTTAACTGATGACTATGAATAAAAATACCAGGTGTTTTTCTCTGTGCGGTTCTTATTTATCTCACGGAATGTGTAACTTGGACAGAATCGTAGCACCGATTTGATATATGAAAGCTGAAAGCATATCTCTTATAATTTGGACCCTTACCTCATGGTTTCCTTAATAGAACGACAAGCCGCAAATAAGGGAATAAGTCTAAATAGGCTATCATAATGTTCAGCATATAAAAAAGGGGGTTGAAAGGACCAAGATATAACTACTTATATTCCATGACTGGGAATGCGAAATTATGCAAAACGTTGACTGATTTCTGTGTTCTTGAGCTTAGCATCATAATAGCGTCAGATAGTGTTACGAAGACAAAGGCTCAGTTGAATCAAGAATTGGTCATTTATTCCTTAAGCATCTAACCGAGATTTAACTTCAGCTAAACGCGTGAACCTGGGGCATCGTGCACACAAATCACACATTTCTCTTATAAAAAAGGTCCCTCCGGACTTCGAGATTCAGTTATTTATTTTCATGCTGTCGTGCATTTTTTAGTGGGCTTACCTACTGATAAGACTTTTGGCGTTGACGGTAAGTAGGGTGATGCCATGCCCCTTTGATCTGGCTGAATTTATCATGAAATTAATTTTTCGAACGCAAGACAACATTTGCAAGGTCACTCGCGAAAGACTGAAAAGAATGATCCATTACTGAGGTCTGTGAATATTTTCAAATCGACTTCAAGTATCTGAACCAAGAAGCGGTATCTGATTTCTTTTCTCGTTGTTTCAGTCCTCAAACAACGTTTTAGTATCAACTTACTGACACTACTGGAGACCATTTCGAAAGCTGAACAGAAAGAAAAGGGTTTTCCAGAACCAAAGTCATTGTGTATGTGGGAGCTTTTTGACGTTGATGGAAAAATTACTTATCCCACAAGACAAATTTCCGTCAGAAACTGCCACATCTTCAAAATGGGTAGAAACCACTTTGGCTCAGTCTATCTTATGCAATGTTTACAGAGTAAAGCTATCAAAAAGAAAGAAGTATCGCAACATGCTCATAGCAGACAAGCATATCTGCGATTCATACCTTCAATCACAAAGAGACTAGTTGGAACGAATGTACCAAGGCGATTGGCTCGTGCGCTGAGTAATGTGTCAAAGTTATGAGGAAAGAAATTTCATAAATATATGTATATTTCAAGCAACAAAGGTTGCATGAATACAAACCAGTTTACGGGTTTCATCATTTTGGTAATGAGAAATGACCATTATGTACAATGTTAAGCTGAACATTGGATACCGTTACTTATGGCATATAAGAGGTTTGTTGAAGCTGGCTGAGTTCAAAATTAGGAATTATTCGGTTGTCGTTTGAATCTTCCAATAGTCCTGGATATGGGGCAGGAATTGCAGTCATGACCTTGGGGTGTGTGCGTTCGTCATAAGGTTTTGATGGCAATATTTCACACTGACAAATGAGATTTGTGGGATTCCGTTTGAATGGAGGACTGGTTAGGTAAACCTGAAAAGTGAATAACAAAAGCGAGCAGCAGGCGAAATTCGAAATGGGAGCACAAAAATACGCAGGAGTAGATCAACCATGATACATCTAGGTGGGTTCTTTGTACTGATTGTAAAGCATACTTCAAGAAGTATCCAGAACCAGCTGTTTGGAGGTAAGCTTAGGTGGAAGAAGATGAAGGTGCGCATGACTTTAATGGAAATTAGTCTGAAGCTGAAGGTATTACTACGGAACAAAGAGATTATAGGATTTTGGACCAGATATTCACTTGTTATATACCCATGTACAAGAGCTTGGTGAAGTTACAAACATTTAGGCGAAATTCATGGTTTTTTAAAGATGGTAACCACCCTTTATCTGGTCACGGAGGGGGATGATCGTGGTGTTGCCTGTTGAGTATTACCACATCGGGGCCACTGAAACAGCGTGTTGGTGCAGAGTACTAACATGTAGGTACTGACAACAAATAATAAAGTGTTGCATGCCATGAAAATGCAGCGACAGACAGTTCTTTTATCTGTCCGGAGTGGAGAGACTGTTTTAGGGGACGAATTTTAGGAAATAGGCGTTAAGTCGTGAGATCAGTTAGGTCATGGAGAAATGTAGGTTACATTAGGGTGGCTACTGAGTTCACTGCCGCAAATCGCATCGCACCCCGCTTTCTGTTCTCTCTTGATGAGTTTTCTTTTTTAGAAATTAGATTTTAACTCAACTAATGCGTTTAGTTCTTGGCACTGCGCACTTCTGTCACTTCTGTTAGTCTCCCTTGAGTCTAGGTACCAGTAGCACCATTGTACGTGGTATTACCGCTTGTGGTTTGGCCGTCAACGAATTGATGAGATTCGTTAGATAGGAGGAATTCTATAAGTAATCTTTGAAACTGGCCGAGAGAACGACATGCTGGTTAAGGAGCGGGAGGTTTGTTCCACAGCATACTGTATTGCGTTATGAAAAACCTACATCGAAGTCTTGAGCGATACTTATTCATTGGGATGACGTACTCGCTTTTGCGCAGATTATATGCCTGTGTTGATTTAAAAGTGATAGCACATTTCGTTTCAGAGTTTCTAAATAAAAGGCGAAAGAGAAATGTTAGGTTGAGCTTCAGGCATCTCAGCCAGAGTGATTCTAGTCCTAGGTTTTTTCATCTTGCTTCGTGAGGAAGTCCTTCGTTATGTATTAGTAGGCGCCGAGTAATGTTTCGTTGAATGTTCCCTACTCGAATTCCATCCGATACTTTCATGTTACCGTAGGTAACCGTGCATTACTCTAACATTGGGCTAACCTTAGCCTTGTACAGTGTAAGTTTTGCCTCAGGTGTGAGTATGTTTCTGTGTGGAAGACCAATGGGTCTTCTGCCTTCGGAAACTTTTGAATCCGCGTACCCTGTGCCACATAAATTTTTTTGATTCAACATTTTTTTCGGGGCGCTATTTTTATTTGCCGGGAATGCGCAAACCCTCATACCTTTTGCCTTTTTTTATGTCAATTTTTTTACTGCTACCACGTAAAATGCGTTGGAAAAGAGGAAGTAAGCGTAAACGTTGTGGTGATCTATTTATATATGAATAGTTTCCACTTTCACGAAACTTTTCCGTGGTATTAAAGACCTTTATTTATATTCCAGGTGCAACGATCACTGGACGGAACGTCAAAGGAAGCTGAGGACAGCGATCAGTATACAGTTCGATTTACTGCACTTTATTTTTCATTCGCCACGACACCCTACAATGAGTTCAGACGCCCAGGGCCACTTCTTGCAGTGAGCCCATCGAAGGAGTTCCACCAGTGGGGAAACTACTGTGTTTTTACTTCCGGTTGGTACCGTCTTAGGGTCCTCATGAACCCACTATGTGGGGTGTGGTCTGTAGCGTCAGACACTTCCTCAAAATCAATAGCCTAGGGTTCGACGAGGTTCAGCATTGGTGGTGACCATCACAGTTCAACTGGACTCGCTAAGCTGAAGGCACCTGGTCAAGCATCCTCGCCATTTGGCACACTATCGTGTTACGTTGCACCTCTAGTAATCTCCTCTCGATGCAGTCGGTTGAGACGCACCTGTATCTTGGCACAACCATCCAAATATACTATTTCATCCGACTACGCTACTGTGTTCTTCCTTGGTCTCATATTCGTGGGTATATAACAAGTTCGAATAATTAGTGATTGACCTCTGCGTCTGTCAAGTTCATACCGGGACTATTCCTAAAACTGTCTAGGACCCCGACATATGAAGAAGCCAACTGTACCACAGTCCAAATCGAATTTGTAGCGCATTCGAAATGTTACTCACTCACCTTAAGGTTTCAATCAGTAGATTAGCTCACCTCTTCGTTGTCCAGCTCTACCGTTTGTCAGTTATCGTTTTTCATCATGTGTAAGTACATCCTGTGCACTTGCTGAGTCATCGGCTCACCCTTCGTCTCTTCCTTTATTTTCATTTTTGGATTCACGAGGCCACTACCAAACTCACTGCTCTGCGCGCTCCCCGCAGCAACATGCCTATCTACAAGCTGGACGGAAACATCAACAACTGGTGGTTACAAACTAACCGGCACTTAAGCTCCTGTTCTGTATACCAGAGATATAGCAGATAAGTAGCTTGATCCACTCCATCGCAATCCGCCTAAGACCTGGGACCATTCAGCAAAACCAACAAGCAAGCAAGAAGAAATCAACTGGTTTGCACAAGCTCGTTAAATAGGTGTCGGAAATTGTATATCCACCTCACCGAAGCTAAAAGTAAGAAGGGAGAAGAGATTGCCTTATCCACTGCAGTGGCGAACCCAAAAACTCGAATCAGGCAATAAGAACTGGATGCGAGAGATCAAAAACTATCAGTTTTCTATGCTAAGACTACGAATATTGAATATTGGGTTGGAACCCGCTGTTTTCGGATTTTACGTAACCTTATGTCTGAAGCTGAAGTTTATGAACAAAGTGACCAAGATGTACTTAAGGAAGCTCCTGACAGGCTGTCAGCAGCTAAAGAATGGGGAAGCAAGTTTAAATACTGTTTATTTCATGTCACTTTAGGTTATATTTTCTCGAAGGCTGTGAAATCCAGCGAGGAAGTAGTAAAAAAACTTACAAACCGAATCGATTTAACTGAGATTAAATCAGCCGTATCTGAGGTCACTTCTACCGTTAAACAGGTAAGCATTTCTGTGTGTATTCATGTGAGTCGTCCAATTGGTTTTGTGGAAAGTTTCTACAAGCAACAAAATCAGTTGTGGGACTAGTTAATCCCCTTTTCAAGGGGGAAGGCATACTCTAAAAAACTGAAACACCTAAGTATATTCATTCGGGCTATCTCAGAGGATTTGCAAGCCCATCCATCAGGCAAGCCACGCGTACGAACACGTTGCTTGCAAGGTGGTGATCATTACAAGGGGACTCCACTCCTTAAAAGTATGCACCTTATGGAATGCCCTACTGTAGAACGCAGATACAGCCCCTTCATTACACCCATTCAGTAAACGGTTAAGCATTAACGTTACTTAGTGTGGCATACCACAGACGTACTGAGGGCAATACTGACCTTACTGGCCCACCACTACTTCCTATGTGTCACTCAACACCTCCCTTGTTAATGCTTACGTTATCTGCTAGCTCCTCTGATAACTAGTCCTGTAATACCTACTTTTCCCTTTCGGGTAAGTCCCATGTACCTCTCCCCACTATCTTGTTATTCTTATTCAGGTACCTATACGGAAGGGAGTCATAAAGGGCTCCTAATCTCAGCAACCCGTAGCTCCATAATCCCAATCTGCAGAATACAATTACCAACCCACAAAAGCATTCATCTCACCAGAGCTAAAATCAGGAAAGCAAGAAATTTCCTTGCCTATTTTGGGAGCAAACTGAACGACAATAACCAAGCCCTAAGAACTAGGCCCAAGAGGTCGAAAACCACCAGTCTCCTATACTCTTACTATTGATGTTGAATGCTGAGCCACAACCCACTCAACAATATTCTAGAGCCATTCCTTTATTAACCACCTAGAGCTCATAAATAGACAGCATACGTGTTTGTTGCGCTTAGCCCAAAATTAAACTAACGGTAGCCGTGTGTGGGTTTTTTGGCTAGTTATTCCTGGACCCAGCATTTCAGAAGTTCGTAGTCAGTTTTTTCAATAGGACAATTCTGTGGTCTTTTATGGATCATACTGTTCCATACACCAAAGGAAAAGACTACAAAATTAAAAGGAATCTAGTTTGACGACTATTATCAGTTGAGTTTTTCGAAAAATTTAAGTGAAAATGGCATCACATAAATGGCGAGTGAATTCTAACATTTTCGAGCAATCGCTATCACTAACTGTTTCTGGAGTGCAGGCTACATCAATATCCGGGGCCCCAATGAACCCACTCAGCCTAAACTAACGCTAGCCTAGATTGTCAGGTTTAATATATGACGTTAATGGTTCCCATATATCACATAGACTTCTGTTTGCGTACCTTTGTCAAATTATCCCATGGAGAGAAGTAAATGATAAGTCATACATACTGTTCCATATAATCATACTCACATTGCTTATTAAGTGATTACAAGCAATCTGTTCATGTATGCATTCGCCGTAAGTTCATTTCGGCGCTGAATTATAACCACCAATTGTGACAATAGTTCAGTCAGTTTTAAAAGACGAAGGTAAATAATGGTAAGTCCAGATCTACACCTTGTCAAATGACGTTGAGCAACAACAGATTCGTTGAACGTTAAAAAACAGTTAAGAGTGAATCTATCAGTGGTAGAGGAATATAGAAAATAGTAAGATATTGATACATATTTTTGACTTGCACATCCTTTTAAAGTTAGTATAAGGTTGTTTTAGGTCAAGGCACCTTAACCCTCGTAAAAAAATCATAGAACTGTGTTCACAATACGTCAATAACCTTTCTGACAATACTCAAATGAAAAGTGGCAAACTTCAATGTTATAGGATTGATTTTTCATAATTACCCTACTTCCTTTAATCCTTTCACATTAAATAACAGTTTTGTGATGCTTGCCAAGTCTGACTAGTTATTTAATGTTTGAAAAGTTATAGATGCGGCGTCACTATTCTTCATCATTATCTTTAAAGAAGCCATGGCAAAGCCGTCAGCACATGCTCCATCTTAGTCTTTGTGACTTCAGGATCATGTCTTGAAGTAAACTCCAAATCCTTGTTTTCTGAAGCTATGTAGCATTATTTAACACATCAAGTAATGATTCGAATCAGCGTGAATTGTTCGCAAAGTACGCTAAACTTGTAAAATATTTGGTTTTTCCACTATTACGAAACATCGTTCTTCATAAAGCATCACATACAAACATAAACATATCCTGAAATTGTCCCAATAATCTTGAGTGATAAAATCAAGAAAGGAAGGTGGCCTAAAGTTTGGTATTGCTGAGGTTGGGATGATTCCTGTCATCATGTTAAGATGCTGGCAGATAGCCATGCGTTCATAGTATCTGACACAGCAACTATTCAGTGCCTTCACGTGGTGACGAGTGTTTCGACAAAAATGAGAGTGAAAGCGAACGTACAACACTTGCAGGATTGAAGCAAACAACAGGTGTACCTAAGGTAGTTGAAAAGCCCTCATCCCAACCGGTGGTGCAAATGGGCTCCACGATCCGAAATGGGTGAATGGCTTCCATGCTTAACTTAGTCACCGGTAACTATTAAAGTACAACATCTGACGTTGCTTCATTCCTTTCTGGATGTCTTCAAGTCAAAAGTGTCCCTCACAACAATCGTTTGCTTTACTCTGAGGCTCCGGGCAGTATCGCAGTCCATGGACAAATAGTAAAACGAATGCTTTCTGTGCATTGTCTTAACTTTCCCCAGACGCTCATATATGTATCGTAGAAATCAAACTCAATCACTGATTTCTCATTTCACACTGGTTTTTGCATGCAAACTATGCTTTTTTTCTCTAGCATTCTCTAATTTGCCTTTATTTGCATTCTAGTTTCACTCAGCTCCCCCCTTATCGAATAAAATTGTGGTCTGTCTGCACCATCTTGAGGCAGTAAACAGTTACTTCCACACCAGCGTCTCATGGTATGTTATCTGATACAACTGCTCTGATGCCATGCCCATCTTCTAGACTAGCCACCTGCAACGTTAGAACTGTTATCCAGGTTGGAAAGCAGCCCTGTTAATGTATGCTGTATCTCAAAAGCCTGCACACAAGGTCCCAGGAATGCTTGGAGTAAATTCCCTATATGTTGGCGCTAAAAGCATATTCACAGTGCCCTTATCTGAGAGTCCTGTGCTATCAGCGACCTGACATTTTTGGTGTTGATATCGCACTAAATGCCAGAGCCAAAGCTGGAATAGTTGACTGGATCTCCATCAGCGGTTGTCTGTGTGCTGTTGGGTTAGAAGGTTCGATTGCGGCTAGTAACTGATAGGAGAGGCGATATCTCTTCATCATCTGTGACTAACTGTGGCCTTGATGCTGTTAAGAATGAGTTCTACCATCACCTGAGTGACTTTTTCTACTGGGTGCCCTCAGCAGATATTGTGGTGATAGCTGGGGATGTAGGGCGTTTAAGCCCAGACGAGAATCGTTTGGGCGACCAATGAGGGTTAGTCTGTCATAAGTCAGTTAATGGGGATATCTCTGGCTTGTGTAGATTACAATGTTTGTGGTCACCATCAACGTTTGGCGCAGCTACCATCATGCTAGCTGGTGTCCTCTTTTTGCCACTCAAGCCTGGACTCAAATAGCGTTTTGCAGTCGTTTACGGATGACATGGGTGTATTGAGGAGTACCACTCCTTCTGGAGCACTTGTCTGGACTCTGATCACGCTTTAGTGTGTGCGTTTTAGTGATCACCAAAATCATCATCCGAAACGCGTCGATGTAAGCGAACTGGCTCTACCTATCATTGCAAATAAGTACTGAATCGTACTAAATTCAAGACTCGCTGTCGAACCTCCAGGAATTGTAGATGAGGTTTGACTACACTTGCAAAATGCCGGGAAAATAGCGAGTAGAGCTGCTTGTGTCTTTAATGAAATCCTCGCCGATAAACAATGAGTCTCTAGCAGCTTCTTGCAACTAGCTGACACCCCTTGGTGGGTTCTGACAGACGAGTGCAATAGTGTATGTAAGTCACTCACACTATAGATTAAGCAGCATTTATTCAAGGACCGCGCGACCTTGTGATCAGAATGCACAAGTAAAATGGAAGCAGCAGTTGCATCTTGAGCTGTTTCCGCTTATTCAAACCAATCAGCCATAAGCCTAGTGCCAGTAACGCGGTCTGTGAAGCAGATGGTACGCTGATTAACAACCTTTTTAGATACCTAAAATGTGTGTGGAGCATTTCAGAGTGCAATTTAGTTGACCCTTTGCCTCAGCAACACTGACCTCAATGTCTTGTACTCCGTGGTTGATTAACACCAACCTGCCTGAAAGACCAGAGATCCGTATGGTACTAAAATCAGTAAAGTAACTTAAAGCACCAAGCCTAGTAAACCTACCCTCGGCCTTTTTTAGGGATAGACTTGAGACTGTGGTCAGTCGATCAGTCAAGATCAATATGAAACCCGGCATTGCTGTGTGACGGTTTATGCTGTTGCACCTCGTCACCACATCAAATTAAAAGATATAAAGGTGCAATATAGAGAAATAAGAAAGTAAGTAGTCTGTGATAAAAGTCATAAAACTATATTCAAATGACTGACTATGTTGTTTACGAAGGTTTTTAGACTGTGTTCTGGCACCATGAAATGAAGCCATTGTTCTACGTAATGGATATGATAGTCGGGGTATAAGCCTACCACTAGTCTCATCTAAAGTGTTTACTACTACCATACTTTTCAGGCTCTGCAAAATGCCTGAAAAACTGATCCATGAGGGGTAGGCCAGGTTTCATCTAGGTTGTGGATGCACTGATCACATGTTGCCACCCCTCCAGATACTTCAGCACGTTTGTACATATCGCAGACTAGTGACCGTTTTATTTCTCAATGTTAGAGTTGCCTTCGATTTTTTGGACACGATTATATTCTGGAGTTGTCTGTTAAAGAGCGGCGGCCCTGGAAAATTTGTTAATATCCTGCAAGTCATTTACTTTAACACGTTGTCTAGAGTGAAGACACTTAGGCACCTATCTCCATTGTTCCAAACCAATATTTTGGTTATTCATGGCTGTCAAACTTCGCCGTTTTCCTTCAAGTTTTCTATCGACGACATTATCTAGATAGCTCTATGTAGGGTGAATCGTGGTGTAAACCTGTTACCGGATGAAAGACTTCGAACTGGTGTATGTGGTCGATGTTGCTTTATTGTACAACAACATACAGCCTCCTCATATCGCACCCACTCAATTAGAGACAAGTGTCTGTAAGTATAGTATGTGCTTTGCATCATCGAAATTCAAAGAACCTCTAAAATATTGCCAGAAGTCTGTGGCTGCACTCACCCTTAATGGCGAACCGTTTGAAGTTTTTGAGAAGTTTGTATGTATGTAAGTGTGTAGGTTCTCATAGACATTTGACTGATGAGATTTCCAACCGCAAGCCGAAACCCAAAGTGGCATGCACCAATCCGGGTCACCTTTGTACGCCATTGTAACCCCAACCATTTTGTGAAGGTAGGGTATGCAACTCGCTGGTGCCGACAGTTCTGCTTAACGTCTATTAAACCTCTTACCACTCACATTTCAAGATGTCCGACAACTCTGCGTAGTCGATCACCTTCGCCTCTGCAAGACTGCTCGCATCGTATACAAACACTAATTACTCAACATGCATCGGTGTGTTTGGGCGTGATGAAGATCGTCTTTCATTGAGTGAGATCATATGAAACACTGGCTTCGGTGGCTTGAACACTTGTTCCACACATCGTCCCAATAATTCCGTGTCTAATGTAGCGCCTTGGGATACAGGATAGTTGTGTCAAGTTAGCATCGGAGGTACCTTGCAACTCCGTGATGGGGTCCGACAGACTTCACAACCCAGTGACTCGAGGTGATAGTGGACAGGCTCACAATCGAAACCAGTAGTGATCATGCTGCAGTATTCTTGTATTAACCAAACGTAAAACGAAAGTGGTGTACGCTTCTTTGATTGTATCTTTCAGACTGCTTCCTGAATAACCCATTTCTGTTTTTGTTTCCGTTCTGTTTCATGCTTTTGTCTTTATAGTGCCTCTGTATTTGTTTAGTGCATCACTGGTTGCTCATGTTTCATGTTTGTGTTAATAATAAAATAAATAAAAACCTGTACTGCTATCTTTTTATAACTTGTTACTGTAGAGGAATCATTAGATTTCCAACTTATTATTTTCACAGCTTATTTGCTTATTTACAGATTATAAGCGAAGTATCGCATAAAAAGCCTTACCGTCTCATATGAATATCATAATCTGGCGGTTAGACACTAGTCATCCCTTTCAATGAATTTTACTGAATGAAGTTGACTATCCTATTGCCTACGATTTTTCACTGGTATAAGATCGTTCATTTTTAGGAGTACTCTACAGATTTTTACGAATGTTCTCTACAGATTAGTTTGGTCATTCCTCTGACTGCACTAACCAGAGTTACGGAGTTATATTTAGTCACAAAATGGTAAAATATAGCTTCAATTTTGTAGTGGGCATCGTTTAAACTACTTTTTTGCTATTGGGGTCCACGGGACAAGAGGAACCAGTGGTTGGAGACCCTAGTTGATATGGCTCAGAACCGAAGTCAGTGGCGCAGATGTATACACACATTATCCTCATCTTAACAACGCTATACCGAATCTCACTATTTTGTCACTCCTCTTTCCTTTCTTCTCGTACTTTATATTTCTTTTGACTGCATTCACTTATCTTCATCCTTCACCTCACTACCTTTTTACTTGATGTGCTGATATGAGGTGTGGCAACTCGGACCGTTACGCAGTAATGCCTGGTCCTATGTTGATAATGATGATGATGATGATTCTAGTTTTTGCTGTCACTGTTAGAACAATTTACTTTCCAGATAAGTTGAATAAATGTAAGTTTTTAATTTCCAAGGTCTCACTTATACGTGAGTTTCAACAAGCCCAAGCTGATTTTACGGAGGCACATCAATCTAAACAGAGCGAACCAGTTGATTTCAACACATCAACTCAATCTGATCTTCCACCGTGGCATCCTGATGTATCTGGATTAAGTGATCCTAATGCCATATCTGCATTAAAAGAAAACATTTTAGCTTTAAGTCAGAACCCAAATAACTTCCTTATTCCTCCTCCTGAAGAAGCTCAACTCAAGTGGATCACACCAATTCCTCAAGATTTATTACATGAAGCTCAAATTCTTCTTAAGGAGGATCCTAATTTAGGCTCTATAAGATATCGTCTTGTGCCAAGCAAGTAAGTTTTATGCTGTTTTTATAATTTTGACGGCATGTTTATAGTATTTTTCTTCCAGTTTTTCACCGCACTTCGTCCAATGCCGTTAAGGTACTGGTCGGCATTGGTAACCCTCACACAGTATTTGTGAATTTTGGTCTGACTGTTATTGGACTACACATAGAAGGGTAATGAATATCGTTTAGGAAATCTGTTGTTAACTTCTTACACTAACATCAACCATAGATGATTTAGTAGAAATCAAACAGCTCACATTAGATTCGAAAAGTCTATGTGTATTCCCTTCCTTCTTATCGTAAGATGAGGTTTATCTGAATGAGACGTTTTTTGTAGTATGCTTATCACCTCAAAATAGAAAAGCTAATCAAAAAGACACTAAGTGTATTTTAATGTTCCGTATTGAAACAGTTAAAAATTGGGAAGCTGTAATTCATTAGTTTAAGCAATTAACTCAGCTGGTGGGTCATATGTTTTATTACCGCTCCATCTACAAAGTTTCGGACAACCCATCAGGATCATTGCCTCCCACATATAAAGCGTGGCTCGTTGCCCAGTACAAAAACCACAAGGTAGTTGTTGAGTGGTAGTAGCAGTTAGCTGGTTTCCCGAACCTCTATTCATGAAAACGATTGCAAACTTGTGATCCACTCATCAAATTCTATGTCTAAATAAAAATTTGATAGCTCTACATCTTATCGATTACCAGTTGGAGAAAATGAAAACCCATTCCATTCACATCATTTAAGTGAGCTTGTGTAAGAGAATATATTTCCCTCTCTATCTAATTGGTCTCGCTCGATATCCGCTACCCGAGTTAGAATATGTGGATGCTGACAAGATGTAGAATCTAACAAACACTCTGATGTAGAGCTAAATATTTGTGATGCAATAGTCGCGTTCAAAATGCAGACTTTCAATTCTAGACTAGTCGATACTGATGCTTTACCTAACACTAGTCAATGAAATTGTAAACTGTCATCACATTAAAGCGAGATGTATGTAGCGCTGTCCAACCGAATTCGGTTTATTAGCTGAAGTAAGACTATGTTGAAAAAAAGGCTAGTCATGCGTAAAACAAGAAGTGGAGTCAATCCATGAAGTCTGAGTGTTAGTTTTAACCGTGTAAGAGAGTGCGAATTCACGGGTTATTGTCCTTGGGGCAGTTAAAATCGGTGGTTGGTGACTAGGTAATATATCTCATTCATTTTTACTGGCATGAATACATTCATGCACTATCTTCGTCTCAATCATCATGTCAAATTTCATCATTTGCTTTAACTTCTTCTCATTGGTTTGTTAACTTCTTACAGCTTTACTTCTATTATTTGCACTGTCAGGCATTAATTCATAAAGTTTGTAGCTGCTGAACTGAACTATGTATGTAGGTAGGTAGATGTAGGTTGCTTAGTTTGAGTCCTTAAAATGATAGTAATCATTGTTTGAAGACACCAGTTGTTATGGTTAGAAAAAATCGATTATAAAGGCACAAATATATACATTCTTTATCATCTTCGAAATCTTGAATATTTTCACCAGCCTTTATGTATTTATTCTCTCAACTCCTATATTTTTATCTACCTTGATATCAGTATTTTTCTATTGACTTCATGCTGATAAACTGCTGTGAAGTGTGGCAGCTTCAACCGATGCACTTCTTTGCCAAGTTTTACCTTGATTTATTTGTCATCATCATCATCATTATCAACATAGGACCAGGCATTACTGCGTAAAGGTCCGAGTTGCCACACCTCATATCAGCACATCAAGTAAAAAGGTAGTGAGGTGAAGGATGAAGATAAGTGAATGCAGTCAAAAGAAATATAAAGTATGAGAAGAAAGGAAAGAGGAGTGACAAAATAGTGAGATTCGGTATAGCGTTGTTAAGATGAGGATAATGTGTGTATACATCTGCGCCACTGACTTCGGTTCTGAGCCATATCACCTAGGGTCTCCAACCACTGGTTCCTCTTGTCCCGTGGACCCCAACCACCTAGTCTGCATCGTCCTACATGGCTTAAACCAACAGTCAGAGACTTCATACATTGGTGCCATGTTTTAGTCTGGCCACCTCGGGCCTTTTTCCAGCCTGAACCCACCTCAGCCAACATTGTGTGACGAGGCAATCGGTGACTAGGCATACGTAGTACGTGTCCCAACCATCTCAGTCGATGAAGGTTCACAACCTCGTCGACTGACTTACCTCTTCTCCCTAAAACTCTACACCTAACTTCTGCGTTACTCACATGGTGACACCACGGAATACGTCCTATACTACGAAGGCAACGGTGGTCAAATACCTGTAACCTTCTCATGTCTTCCACTTTCAATGGCCATGTTTCACAGCCATACAGTAGAACAGAGCGGACTGCTGTGCAGTACACGCGACCCTTAATAGACAAACGAATATCACGGCGGCGCCATAGGTGGCGCAAATTGGCAAAAGCCAATCGAGCCTTTTGTATCCGTGCCGAAATCTCACCGGCAACTAACCCACCGGGTTGATCCTACTTCCCAGGTAAGTGAAGTGGTCAACACACTCAACCACTTCACTCTCTATTGTTAACCGCGGTACCGCTGAAGACCAGTCCTGGAGCAAAAATTTGCATTTGGGTGGTGAAAATCGCATCCCAAACATTCTCAAATTCCCACTCAAAGTGTTCAGAAGACTCTGCATCTTGTCAGCGTCTTCACCTAACAGGACTATGTCATCTGCATATTCTAGATCTAAGGAAAATTCACCTGTGGTCCAGTCAACGTCTTTGTAATTAGGTGACGAGACGGAAACCTCCATAAGAATATCTATGATAAAATTAAATAAGAATGGGGATAGTGGGCATCCTTGACGGACACCACTTGATGAGTATTGATTTATTTGTCTACCATTGCTTTTTATTTTTGTGATTTAATGTAAGGTCTGGCAGTTTGGACTGTTACGCAGTCATTCCGAGTCTCATATTAGTAATAATTGTTTGTGCAAGAGAAAAGGCTATAATAGTTTGTTAGATGATCTATTAGTTCCTATTTCACAAAATCTGTTATCACCTGGGTACCCTATAGATAGACAATAAAACCAAATGTCCCCATGATTGGGAGATTCCATTAGATGATAGAAGAAACGGAAAAATTACAAGTATATTTCTTAAGAAATATTTTCAAAGTATTGTCGGCTTGTATCTAAAACAACAAAAATTGTTGAACCATAACTTGCCTCAGTTGTACAGTTGGGTGTAGATAAGATGCAAGTTGGAGTAAAACTAGGATGGGTGAATCATAAAAGAGGCATTTGACTCTGTCTACCGTGAGGTGTTATGACAGTGTCTGACTATGAAGAGAGTACCGACCAAGTATGTGACGCTAATCAAAGCTCTCTTCTGGAAATGACGCAGCCGTATAGAGGCTTACGGAGAATTATCATCAGGATTGACGACAACTAGTGGTATGCACCTTAGATGCCCACTATCACGGTCACCGTTCCTATTTAACTTCGTTAAAGCGATACCAATGGACATAATCTTAGGTACGTCTGACTTTACTAGAATTGGTCTACTTCCTGGAGGTCGTCTGGTTGACCTCTGGACTACGTAGACGATGTTGTTCTATTGGATGAAAATGCTGACAAAATGAAGGGTCTTCTGAATGCATTGAACAGAAATCTGATTATATTTAGATGGCAGGCGTTTCACACCTGTCTAATGTAAGATGATGCTACCGGGACTGGTCCGCAACTACTCTCAGTTTAATGACAGGGAGTGAAGTGATAGGGTGTGTTGACCATTTCACTTATATGGGGGATTTGCATGAGCCCGAATGGGTTGGTTGTTGATGAAATCTCAGCTCGGGTACAGAAGACTAGTTAGTTTGACATTTGCTAACCGATTAGTGAGATATCCGTCTTCCTAACAAAGGACTAGTATATTACGCTGCAATCCATTCTGTCCTGTTATAAGGCTATGAGACATGGCAGTTAAAAGTAGAAAACATTAAGCAGTCACAGGTTCCAATCACAAGCGTCTTCTTAGCATTGCTCGTGCTTGGTGGAATCATCATGTGAGTAATGTTGAAGTCAGACAGAGGCAACTAGACAAGATAGGCAAGTCGAATAATAAGATTGTGAACCTTCGTCGATTAAGATAGTTTGGACATATACTGCGCATCCTGAGCCATCGCCTACCTCGACGTGCCATACTAGGGAAAGTTGGATTATTCAATATGACAAGATCGAGATATGGCACCAATTTTTAAAGTCTCCGACTGTAGGTCTGGTCCGTGTGGGGCGATGTAGACTGCCTGGCTGAGGTCTCCGAGACGAAAGGAATGAGTAATTGAGGACTCTTGGTGACATGACTGGAAATGGAGCAGATGTATTCACTACCTGACATCTAAAGCTTGAATATTTGCACTATCTTCTATCTTCGAATTGTTCATCCCCTCACACAATTTTGCCTTCTTTGATATCACTCTTTTTCTGTCCACTTGTATACTACTGTGAAGTGTGGCAACTTTTAACCGCCGCACTTTTGTGCGAGGTTCTATGATTTCTTCTGTCTGCCTGGGTGGACCATAAGGTGGCATCAGTCCATGAAGTCACCGACTACTGTTAGAAGTCGTGTTTATGGACTGAAATCCGAAGGTGTTTAAAGTCTCTAAGAAACAGTTCAGAATGTTTTCCAGTGGTGTATGTATATTCATCTTTTTCCTCAATCCCTGTTTTGAGCATTTTATTACGTTAATAATTGTTCATCTATCCACCTATATCTTTGTTTTCAATTTCAATTTCTTTCTACTTCGGTTTTGTTTCCTGATGATGCCAGACAAACTTGAAATGGCGGTTTTTGTAAATTATATTTGACATTTTATGATCTCAAGGGAACTTATCCGTTTTTCCCCTATAGAATAAGTGAAGATGTATTTTGGAGGAATTATTTCTATCGTCTATCCTTAATACGACAGTCCGCTCATCTGTCTGCTGTAATGGCCAACCATCATCATTCAAATACTGCTAATAGCAATGGTGGTAGTACTGGAAGTGACAACAGTGTTTCTGACACTGATTTTGTATGCATTGAACAAAGTATGCGTTACTGTCTGAATTAATTGTGTTGTATTGTTTTTTCTTGCATTTTCATAATATCTACTATTTCCAGCGAAATGTTTACGAATAATAATTTCGAACTCGAGAAAGGGACTAAGTCTGTATAAGATCAGTATCAGTGGCTTTTTGTTTTGCAATACATTGATTCCTAGTAACTGTGCTACAAAATCTGACTTTTAGCTGAGTGTCAATTTCACTTAAGTCATTTGGATACTTACTTTGAAGGTGTGTGTGGAATAATTGGTTTCAAGGTGGTATTCATCACAGACTGACATCAGTTGGAGAACCATTGAGAACCTTGAAGCCGTCCATCCATCCAAATTAACATAAAACCAGACATTACTGCGTAGCGACCCGAGTTGCCACAACTCATATCAGTACATCAAGTAAAAAGGCAGTAGACTGGAAGATGAAGAAAAGAAAATTCCGTCAAAAGAAATATAAAGTACGAAAAGAGAGAAAGAAAGAATGAGAAGACGACGAGATTCGTCATAGCCTTAAAACGAGGATAATGTGTGTATACATCTGTGCCACTGACATCAGCATCACCTAGAGTCTCCAACCGGCTAGTCTACATCACCCCACATGGCTCAGAGCAACAGTCAAACACTTCATACATTGATGCCATGTTTTAGCCTGGCCACCTCAAGCCTTTTTCCAGCCTGGAGACCTATCCCAGTCAACATTGTGTGACGAGGCAGACGGCCACTAGGTATGCGTAACACATGTCGGAGCCAGTCATCTCAGTCGATGAAGGTTCACAACTGTGTCAACTGACTCACCTCTTCTCCCTAAAACTCTACACCTGAGAGTGACATCTGCGTTACTCACATGGTGACACCACGAAATACAGCCTATACTACGAAGGCAACAGTGGTCAAACACCTGAAGCCAGCCTTCTCATGTCTTCCACATTCAATGACCATGTTTCACAGCCATAGAGTAGAACGGAGCGGATGGCTGTGCAGTACACGCGGCCCTTAATGGACAATATCGGATATCACGGCGGCGCCACAGTTGGTGTAAGTTGGTAAAAGCCAGTTAAGTTTTTTGTATTCGTGCAGAGATTTCATTGGTCACTGAGCCAGCCATCAGGGCTGATCCTACTTCCGAGGTAAGTGAAGTGGTTGACACACTGAACCACTACACTCTATTGTTAACCGATGCACTGTTGAAGACCAATCGTGGAGGAACAATTTGCATTTGGGTGATGAGAAACGCACTCGAAGAATTCTCGAATTGCCAATCAAAGTGTTCAGAAGACTCTGCATCTTGTCAGCGTCTTAACCGAACAGGACTATGTCATCTGCGTATTCTAGGTCTAACGAAAATTTTCTTGCTATTAGGTCAACCTCTGTGTAGTCAGGTGACGAGAGGAAGACCTCTATAAGAACGTCTATAATAAAATTGAATAAGAATGGAGAGAGTGGGCACGCTTGACGGACACCACTAGATGAGTACAGCTCACCTGACATCTCACCATAGGCTCCAACACCCCCACAGTGTTCGAGCAAACAGCCTTCAATAAAGTGATGTACTTACTCGGCATGCCTTTCAGTGAGAGAAAATGCCATAAGACCTCTCGATCAACGGAGTCGAATGCCGCCTTCAGGTCGAGAAACACAGCTAGTGTTGGACGCCGGTAAGCGTGTCTGTGTTCCAAAACCTGGCGCAGTGTGAATACTTGGTCGATACATCCGGAGCCGGGTCTAAAGCCTGCCTGGTTTTCTCTGACTTGCTGTCCCCTAGCTCCACTCAGGCGTCGAAGAGTTATAGAACCTAGGATCTTAGACACTATGTTCGTCAGGCTGATTCCTCTATGGTTATCACAGGAGGACTTCTCGCGTTTTTGAAGACTGGGATAATCAGTGGTTCAGACCAGTCAGAGGGGATTGTATTTGATTCCCACATACTAGTTAACACTTCCGTTAACCTGACTAAGAGCACTCTACCACCATCCTTGTATACCTCAGGAGGTAGTTCGTGTGGTCCTGCTGCCCTTCCTGGTTTCAGGTTACTTACCGCTTTCTGAACTTTTCCCAGCGTTGGAGGGCCTATCTCAATGTTCCATTCAGGATCGGACTGGATAGTGGGCGACGCAATGGTGGCTGTAGGCCAATTAAACTGTTCCTCGAAGTGTTCTGCCCATCGTTCCAGTCGTCTCCTCTGCGAGTGAATTGCAGATTCATCCTTCTCCGCTATGATCTCACTAATCGCAGTTGACCTTTTGCCTCCAGTTTCGTTAATAAGTCTGAATTATTGTCTGCTGTTACCTTGAAGCACTAGGTAGCTGTTTCATCTTAGTGTGGGGCTATTTCTTGTTTATTCACTGATAAATGCAAAATATCTCACTAATTCGGGCTCCCAAGCTGTAATCTTAGCTGTCACTTTATGAAGAATGGTAAACAACCTTGTTTACCAAGTTATGCTGAGAAAATAACTCTAAACCTGGTCAAGTTCCTATGGCACGCATTGTTGAACTGTTGTAAAGGTATTTATTGTTGTGTGTATGTGTATGTATGTATGTATTTGGAATCTCACGCAAATTTGTTTCTATATGTCTAACTCTCTTCATATATGTTCACAAAATGCGAGTGATAGATTTTCTAGAAGAGTATGATAAATTCATTATACCTCATTCTCATCCCTTTGGATCATATCCCGTAGTTGTCAAACTTATAACTTATTACAAGTTAGCAAAGAAGTTTGAAGCGTAACATCGAAACATAATATGTCCTCAAGTAGTTGAAAAGTTATCTATAGAACAGAGGTTGAGAAAATTCTAAAACTATCCTATTAGTAGCAGGGATAAGATTGTGCGGAATAAGAATAATAACCCGAGGATGGTGTATTTTAGTCGAAATTAAGGATTTGTAGCTGTAGTTAAGAGCAGTATATTCATCTGAATACTGAGCTCATTAACATATTCCGTACTGCTAGATGGTTGTAGTCACGTAAGATACTGCAGGATAGAAAAAAAGGCAACCGCTCACTTTCTTGAATAAATCCAAAATAATCTAAACTTCATTTAGCACCAATAGTCTAGTCTTTTGTCACTCAGTGATGCAAAACATGTTGACATCAATTTTATACTCATGTTAGTGTCATTTTGCTTCTTGTTTATTAGCATTATGTATGTTCATCCTCATTTTTTTGCTATACTTACAGATCCTATTTGGTCTCGAACTAAACCGAATTCAGAAGTGAAAGATAATTCTGAAGTTTCTTTGAACAAAGATCGAAAAAGCAATCATCCTCTTGCTACAGCGAAAATATCGTCTAATGAACATTCCAAAACATCATCATTATTATTGTCATCATCGTCAAAGAATGGTAGACATAAGAAGGAGGAACCAAGATGTCTTAAATCTGCACCTAATTCCACTTCAGTTAATTCAAAAGTCAATGAAAATATTTCTTTATCGTGTAAGTTATGACTGTATGCAATGCTCAACCTATATCTCAGGTAGTCTCGACATTTTCGTCAGTGATCATAGTAAAGAGTGTAGACCTGTGTTTAGTTGGTTTACACATTTAACTTCTATCAATGGAATCTCGAGTTCAGACTTCATTTCACCTCTAACAACCTTTTAGATGACTGAATAGTGTCGATAACTCACAACATTTGGGGTTTATGACCCCTTGAATATGACCGAGTAGGTGGTTGTTGAAATTTATTAGTTCTGTTTATGCACAGCAGAATATCTGTATTGTATTTGTTAATCCTCACTGCTGATGTTGGAGACTTTCGATATAATTACTCTTTTGCTTTACTAGAGCTTCCCAAATACCTGGTTTGTATCACTTCACAAGGTGGCTCATTAACTGCAACTGTAGCATCCATTTTAGTCTGTTTATTAGAATTGTCATACAGTGAAACATTATCATTTACTGGATGACGTTTCAGACACAATTTATTGTCCATATTCATATCAGGTGACTCCACAACTTCGAAACAGAGTTTATATATTCCTAATTTCCTCTCCTTCTCTGTGATGACAAGGGTAGTAGAATCTTCCATATATCTGGGACAGGTGAAGAATCATTTCCATTACTGCACGTATTTGATGTTGATTCGATAAACAGTGATTCGGTTATCAATCTCTCCCTTCCTCCCTCGCTCCAACCAACTAAGTTAGTTTTCAACACTGTCGCTCTGTCCCACCCTACTGTGTGATTGTGTGCAGTTGCGTGTAGAGTTATAGGTGAGCTTTTCTCTAAATTTCTTATCTTATAAGGATCTACTAAACTAGATTTAGGTAAGTCTCTATGCTAACTAGTAGACTACTTTCACCCATGTATTTAAGCTCGCGATCGTTGCAAGGGATTCGGTAAACCAGATTATTTTGCTCAATTGGATCTATAGGGTCTTTTAACCTACAAAGCTTGTTTCTAAGCGAGTTTGTTGGTTTAAATGCCAGTCATTTTAATCCCAGTCAGCCTTATTGAGAATTCTTCGTAATGCTTCTGAGGTGCCTTCCTTGTATGGCAACATAGCAGAGGCTTTGAATTCTCTCTCAACCCTGTCACCATTATTACCGTAAGTAATAGAATTACTATTAATAACACATGTATTACTACTACTACCACTGCTAATATTTTTCTTTCAATTTCTTATGAATTTATTTGTAGATTTATGTGGGTAATTATTGAGACGTAGGGTATTCTTGATGTGTTTAATTTTTTGTTGTAGGTTTTTCGGTCTACCAGTAAGCTTTTTCGCCCTATCACTAGTTTAACTGAGATGGGGTGGGAGGATTCGAAGTCTAAGTAGCGATTGGAATGGGTAGGTTTCCCGTAGACGCTAGTCTCTAGATTCTCGTCTTGTGTTCGTTTAATCTTGGAATCCAACATTACTAGCTCACCTTCTTCACTTTCTAAGTCACAGGTAAATTGGATTGCATTCACTACTGAATTTATGTGCCAAGAACCTATTGACGTGTTCTGATTTGAGTACTGTAAACATATCGTCTACATATCTAAACCCTATCTTTGGAGTATGACTAAAAGTTTGCAGGGCCATCTGTTCCCAACTATCCATAAATATGTCCACGACGATAGGAGACCAGGGTCGATTAGAATAACACAGCACAAAGACTTACCTAAATCTAGTTTAGTAGATCCTTATAAGATAAGAAATTTAGAGAAAAGCTCACCTATAACTCTACACGCAACTGCACACAATCACACAGTAGGGTGGGACAGAGCGACAGTGTTGAAAACTAACTTAGTTGGTTGGAGCGAGGGAGGAAGGGAGAGATTGATAACCGAATCACTGTTTATCGAATCAACATCAAATACGTGCAGTAATGGAAATGATTCTTCACCTGTCCCAGATATATGGAAGATTCTACTACCCTTGTCATCACAGAGAAGGAGAGGAAATTAGGAATATATAAACTCTGTTTCGAAGTTGTGGAGTCACCTGATATGAATATGGACAATAAATTGTGTCTGAAACGTCATCCAGTAAATGATACTGTTTCACTGTATGACAATTCTAATAAACAGACTAAAGTTGAATTATGATCGACCACAACGCCCAAGTTTTACTCCTATATCAACTATAACATCCTTTGGCCAAAACTGTTTGTTTACTCTATGAAGCACAATAACTTAATGTTGTTATGCATTTCCTTTCAACCTACATATTCTCAAACGTCCTGCAATGACTTTGTAGGCTTATTAGTATCGGTGAAGATACGTGAATTGAATAGATGTATGTTTTCAACGAAGTCTTTTCAGGCTCAACCTGCGCCGGATATTTCCTATTTTTCTTGACCTGAAGAAAGTATTTGATTCTATCAGCTGAGAAATATTTTAACGATCTGATTATAAAGCTAATACCAAGTCAATATATTGTGTTAACTAAGGCTTTCACACAAGCATGGAAGGGCTTACAGAGAGTTACCGTATGATTTGACAATCATGGATGTCCATTCTCCCTTTCTTATGTAATGTTGACATAAGTGTACTAATTAATATGAATGCTAAATACCTTCAACTTTTTATAGGTTGGCTTACTATATGAAGGGCACTTAGTATACTTAGTTTACACAGATGACGTATCCATGTAAAGCAAATATGGTGACCAAATAAACGATCTCAATGTCTTAGGCGAAAATCTAATTATGTCCGCCCTGTGCTTCACACCTGTCAACTACAAGATGATGCTTCAAAACTGAAGTATCCCGACTTTCAGTTAAAGAATGTGGATTAAAATGGTGGAACGGCAAGTTGCCTTGATCCTAATTGGCTGTTGCTGATAAAATTTTAGCTCAACTACAAAAAGCACATTAAGCACTCACCAACCTGCTCCATCTTTGGGGCTGACAAAATATCTGACCGTAAATCAAAAGACATGTATGTTGTACAGCGGTTCTCTGCATTCCATTTTATGACTATGAGATATAGTTGTTGACGGTGAAACATATGAGTAGGTTACAACTTTTTGGTCATAGATGTTTTCATAGCACTGCTTACATGTGGTGGAACCACAGCATGAACATACTGACTTACTGCTCAACTCGGTATACAATATCAGCGGAAGGTGGAGTGGGTTGTGAAGTAGGCTAGGTTTGGCTGTGTCAAGACATTGACCAATGTATGATACCTCTAATCGTTAGTCTAAGCCTTGCAGAAATTTTCAGGCTAACTGATTGCGATCCTTCAGATGTTAGGAACCAGTGGTTGCAAGTCGTTATTGCTGTTGTTCAAAGTTGATCACGAGGGTGTAAGCCTGGTTGCTCTTTATCATCCATCAAAATTTGAGCATTATTGTAAGCCTTCATTTGTTTATTGACATCTTCTCACATACACTCTTTACACCTCTTCGGTTTATGCGGATTTAAAAATGCAACAACTGAATCCGCTTTCGTGCAAGATTCGTTGATTTGTCTTGTCTAAGAACCGTGTTCACTACGATTTGTTCATTTCAGGTGGGTACTCATAATCGACTTACATCAGTTGGAGAAACACTGGGAACCTGGTGAGCACTGGGCAGCTGTTTCGTCCTAGCATGGGACTCCTCAGCGGTGCGCACCCGTGACCCTGCCACGAATCTAATCCAGGACCTTCAGTTTCCGCGGCCAGCACGTTTCCATTGGGCCACTGGGTAGGAATTCGGTGGTTCATATTTCCTACTTCTGTCAGTTCACAATATAGCGTGACCTCCATCTAATGTTGTTGTTGAGTAACTGTTCTCACGTTCGACTTCTTATTAGAACCTCTGGAATCACCTTTCAAAACGAGTCACCAATAAGCACCTCCAACTTTACGCACAAACAGACTACAATTAAGACTTAAATTCCTTTGTTTTTCTCTTTATTTGAAGAACTGTTTAGTAATAAGTGGGGTTGTCAGTAGTCAATGTAACTAGGGGCGTGTTAAATGGCAAGTGGGATAGGTGGAATTTGTACTGAGTATCTCAAGTGCCTTTTAAGCTATACCAACCCATATCGACTGATTTGTAAAACAGTCCAGGCAAAGATGTGAAAATTTGGAACAATGACATCTAACTTACCATACAAAAATTAGATATGCATTCACTTCAAATATGCACCCATGAGCGATGATTTCTGAGAGTATTCAACGTGTGAAAGTTAAATTTATGTGAGAACTCACAGATTTTGAACACATCTGGTATCTTGTGGGACCATCGAACGACAAGTATTTATATATAAAATTCTAAGTAAGGCAGCTTGAAAGGGACGCATTCAGCCACCTTGTGTACATCCATGAAGTAGGCAACAAGCCACACCTGTTATGTGAGGAGTAGGGATACTACCACTGCCTAGCTGCCCAATCCTCGATAGGTGGAGCAGGGTTCGAAACCGTTGGCCTAGCGGTTGATAGTCATCCCCTAAACCACTGAACCACAGCTTCACTTTAGATAGTTGATAAGGTTGCTTGCTTCGAACCATCTAAGACAATTGAAATATGTGTTGCGCTGTGACAGTATTCATCATAAAACTGACTAGTATTAAATTCTTTTCGTTGTTATATACCAGGAACCTTCACCCGAGTTTTGCCTTTATTACTCTTCATCAGGTTTGAAAAGTAAAATTCTCTTTATGATTCAACTGTATTGCGTCCAGCACTTTTCTTTTGATTAACACGCATAAATTATCGATTCATAGAATCCTTGAAAGAATTTCTGATTCATATATATATATATATATATATATATATATATATATATATATATATATATTTTTCTTGTTCAGGCAGATCTCAAGAATGTGGTCTTTAGAATTGTTTCAGATTTATACCCACCAACAAAGAAACCTTTTACATAGGTGTATATGCTAGAAATATAGAAATGTACATATACATAGATTACAAATTAAGATTTATTACCAATGCATCATCACAACTAGTATTCATTTTTGGATTTTCTTCGTTGTCGTGCCTTGATCATACTGCTA